GATGGCGGCATATTAGGCCGGCCAGGTGGCAGAGTGGGAGCAGACAGCGAAGGGACGGGCAGGAGGGGAGGGAGGAGGGCAGGTAGGAGGAGGGGAGGGAAGGGAGGGAAGGGGAGGAGGAGGGGAGGAGGAGGGGACGAGGAGGAGAGGAAGGAGGAGGGCAGGAGGGAGGAGAGGCAGGACAGTGAAGGGCAGGAGGGGAGGGAGGAGGATCGGGATCGGGATCGGGCTCGTGGAGCTCGGGCGTCTTCTCGATGATACGCCTGCGAAACATCGGAGCCCGGCCTGCTTGGAACTCTCTGAGTGGCGAAGCTCGCTCGGCCGCCCATCCTGCGGGCGGCCTCCTCCTCCTCCTTCGCCTCCTCCTCCTCCTCCTCTTCCTCCTCCTCCTCCTCCTCCTCCCTCCTCCTCCTCCTCCTCCTCCTCCTCCTCCTCCTCCCCTCTCCTCCTCCTCTCCTCCTCCTTCTCCTCCTCCTCCTCCCTCCCTCCTCCTCCTCCCTCCTCTCCTCTCTCCTCCTCCCCTCCTCCTCCTCCTCCTCCTCCTCCTCCTCCTCCTCCTCCTCCCTCCTCCTCCTCCTCCTCCTCCTCCTCCTCCCCTCCTCCCCCTCCTCCTCCTCCTCCTCCTCTCCTCCTCCTCCTCCTCCTCCTCCTCCTCCTCCTCCTCCTCCTCCTCTCCCTCCTCCTCCTCCTCCTCCTCCTCCTCCTCCCTCCTCCTCCTCCTCCTCCTCCTCCTCCTCCTCCTCTCGGGCAGGGCCGCGCTGCCCCGTTAGGTGCCACCCCCATCCCTGGCACGCAGCCGTAGGGGCGCCCCCAGGGGACCATGGGACCGATGGCTTGCGCGCTCGGCCTCGGGCTCCCGACGAGGGCAGGGCCGCGCTGCCCGGTCAGGGGCCACCCCCAGCTCTGGAACGCAGCCGTGGGAGCACCCCCAGGGGACCGATGGCTTGCACTCGGCCTCGGGCTCCCGACGAGGGCAGGGCCGCGCTGCCCCATTAGGGGCCACCCCCAGCTCTGGAACGCAGCCGTGGGAGCACCCCCAGGGGACCGATGGATTGCGCTCAGCCGCGGGCTCCCGACGAGGGCAGGGCCGCGCTGCCCCGTTAGGGGCCACCCCACTCTCTGGCACGCAGCCGTGGGAGCACCCCCAGGGGACCGATGAATTGCGCTCAGCCGCGGGCTCCCGACGCGGGCAGGGCCGCGCTGCCCCGTTAGGGGCCACCCCCAGCTCTGGCACGCAGCCGTGGGGGCGCCCCCAGGGGACCGATGGATTGCGCTCAGCCTCGGGCTCCCGACAAGGGACGAAGACGCGAGAGGACGAACGACCAGCCGGCGGCGGCGGCGGCGAGGAACGACGACGCGCCCAAGGGCGGAGGGAGAAGGGAGCCCGAGGCGACGACTACTGGATTGGGGACCTCTGCAAATCCACCCATCTACAAAACAGTGCTCCCCCTGTGCACTCCCACGGCCCCGATCTCTTTTCCTCCCTCGGCCTCGTCCTCTCGACGCTGGTCGTAAGAGGACCGTGGGGACGGACGGCAAGGATGGGCCGTAGGGCCGTCGGTAGGGGAGAAGGGTGGGCGCGGGACTCCTCTGCAGAACATTCGGCAGCGAGGCCGTGTCGGATCAGCCTACGTAGCCGTCGGTTGTTTGCAAGCCTGCTCACTTCTTTAGCTGCCTGAGAAGGTTCGCCGCGTCTCTCCAGAGGGGCCCGAGTTGTGGCGGGCCGACGGTCCTCTCTCCACCGAGGTCGAGGATCGCCGTGCGCAAGACTGGGACCAGATGGCGGCCACTGCCGTGGTCGGAGCACGGCTATGGTCAGACGGCCCTTGTTGTCCGGCGTCTTGTCGTTATTGTTGCGCTTCCAATGCCAGTGCAGGCAGATCTCGCCCATCGCTCGAAGCGGGAGGGTCCTCAACTCGGATTGGTAGATCCCTCGAGCAGTCTTGCCCAATGCTGTCTCCTGCCGCGCAAGCCACATCAGTCCGCCCCTGAAAGCGTGAAGGTATGGCGGTCCTCGGCCTTTGAAATCCACGTCCTCCCCTGCTGCTTGTTTGGTGCGAGGTCCTGTGAAATCTCCTGGTGCCTCTGGCCCGCAAGCCTCACTGTCGACGCGAAGCCGCACTCTTCGAACACGAGGTCGAAGGTGGTAGACATTGTCGCTGTGAGCTCGGCGACAGCTCGACTGCCTGCCAGTACCAGGCGAGTGGTGACGAGCACCAGCTACGCGATGATCTCCTGGTCTCCTCTGCCTGCGATGACCTCGGCCCTGGCCTCCGTCTCTGCCTTTTGCTGCGTCCGCTTCGACCCCAGCAGGGGGGGGGCGTCTGCAGCCACTCGGGAGCCTCCAGGTCCGCCATGCGCCCCCGACTGTTCTCCTGGACTCGATCGTTGTTCGGGGACCCCCCCCCTCCATGAGCGGGGGGGGGGTTCGAACCCCCCCCCCTCCCGTGACAGAGGGGGGGCGGGCGTTGGACCCCCCCCTCTCACCTACTTCTCCTCTCTCCCTCTCCTCGGGCTGGCGGCGTCGGCGGCTGGCGGCGGTGGCGGGGGTGCTGGTGGTGGTGGTAATGACGGTGGTGGTGGTAGTGGTGGTGGTGAGGTGGTTTGTGGTGGTTGTGGTGGTGGAGGTGGGTTGTGGGGGGGTAGTAGTGGTGGTGGTTGTGGCGGTGGTGGTGGTGGTGGTGTGGTAGATTGTGGTGATGGTGGTGGTGATGGTGGTGGGTTGTTGTGTTGGTGGTGGTGGTGGTTTCGACCGACTGCGTCACAATCAAGCATCGGGCTGAGGTTCCGAACCGTTTCCTTGAAGTGACTTGGCACAAGCTGTGGATGGGATCACGCCCATCTCTTACAAGCAGCAGCCCCTTCCCCGTGAAAGTACATATGTACTTCCTGCTTTGCTGGACTTCTAACATATCACACCTTCCCCGGTTTCCGATGTAGATCGTCGTCGCAACCGTTTAGCATGTCCGGGATTTTTTTGATCGGGGAGGGTACCGAGATGATATGAGTTTGAAACACGTCGTCAGCGTAAGTGCATCCCCCCACGTTTGCTCGTGAGTCCTTCCATTTAGCTATGAAGGTTGAGGCAGCAGGGTCTAGACTCTGGATCGCGTATTTCCAAAGGGTGAGCGGCCGAGCGAACGTGCCTCGGATAAGCTGGACAACGTACGGGCCCCCCATGAGTCCTCCTTCTCCTTTCTTCAAGGTCACCTCCCCCTCCAATGTGTTCCAGGGAAACCGTACCAAGCTTGAAACGCTGTATGCACAAGTCGATGTTTACCTCGTTGGCATGTAAGTGGGCGGTCTCCTCCAAATCCTCCCACCTCTCACATGCAACTGCGTTGCTCAAGTCTTTGTGGCTCATGGCAAACAGCAGCGGGCCTGGCAAAGGCGCCAGCCAAGGAGTTGAGGGAAGGGGATGGAGGAGGAAGGAAGGGGGAGGAGGGGGAGTAAGAGGAGGGACAGGGCCCAGCCGCGATCTTCTCGCGGCGAGGGCCCCGGGACCTCTCGAGCCCGTCCAGGGGACAACCTGCTCACCCCCGACTGCGGCTTGACGGCCCCGAGGCACGACCCTCTCGAGCCCATCCGCCCCTGCCGCGGCAGGCGAGCCGAGGCGGAGCACCACGCCTTCGGCCAAAATCCGCTGGGCGAGGTCCGGTGTCGCTGTCGACACAAGCACCGAAGCCACGAGACGTGTCAGCCCCCAAACATGGGCACCAGATGCGCAGCCATTTCCCAAGGTGCAGATCGCCGGACCTGCTGGCAATGGATCCGAGCTGGGCGGCGTCCACGGCGGACCGAGCAGCATGCCGACTCCAGAGGGCCCGCCACGGGCTTCGGCGCCCCAGGTGTCCGGGGCAGCCCCTGGAGGCCCAGGTGGAGGCACAGTTCGCCGCCTCGGTTTCTACGCCGTGCAGGATGTCAGCTTGGCATCGCTCGGACGTGTGCATGTTTCCTTCGGCGAGGACCATCGAGGAGCATTCTTGATCATTTGGCGAAGTCACCGCGCACGAAACCGAAAAAAGCACAGGGAATGGACGTCCGAGCTATGGCCAGTCAGGGCCCCCTCCCCTGCCTCGTTTGGCGGACGGAGAACGGTATACCGTGAATTCTTCTGCCGTCGGTGTCTCCTGTCCCAGGGCGGTCGGAATATGGTCGGACCGAGGTGCAAGAACGAGGTCGGTTTGGCGAATGTACCCTAATGTTTGTCGTGTTTGCTGGATGTTCTTGTGCATCTTGGGGAAGGTACCTTTTGATGTTCTGTGTGTTTTGGCCGGCGGAGGATCTCATGTTCTTGAAGGATGTTTATCTGTCGTAGGTCCGACCGTCTGTGATGCCCCGACCTGCCAGTACGGGTAGGAACTTCCGGGCCGCCGTGGGACGGGCGTCCCCGAGGGCGGAAACGTTTGTTCGATGTTCGCCCTTCGTCCGCCAGCTCGTGTCGGCGCCACCCCGACATACATACTAGTTGCGCGTCACCCCCACAATGGGCGTCGCGCGCGCCGAGAAATCGTATAGTGTATGTTCGGTGGCTGGTGCTGTCTTGCCATACTGGGCGGGAAGCGATATACTACAGGATGGCTGTGCTTTCTGTTCGGGTCAGACGCACGCCTCCAAGGAGGACGCGTAGTACTGGTATGTCCTCCTGCGTCCGCCAAGTCGTGCCGCCAGCGCCGGTCGCCGCCACCCAGCGGACAGGTGCTGGGGGAGGCCTCGTACCTGTGGCAGCTCGCGCGGCAGCTGGCAGCCCGGCCCGTGCTCCACTGGCTGCGGGCCGCTCGAGGGGGGTTCGTGCCTCCCTCCCCCCCCCCCTGCCCTCCCCCCTGCACCCATGCCCTCCCCCTGCCCTCCCCCTGCCCTCCCCCTGCGCTCCCCCTCCCCCCTCAGTCCCTCCATCCCCTCTCCTGGTCTCTGACGAGGGCCCTCCCCCCAGGGGACCTCACGGCACCAGGGTTTTCGAGCCTTTAGCTCCTCCGTCCCCAGCACATCCAGTCTCCACCAGGGTGTTTGCGTGCCCGACGTCCAATCGCCTTCTGACGCCCGCTACCCAGCATGAGTCTCTCTTTCTCTCGCTTTCTCTCTCTCTCTCTCTCTCTCTCTCTTTCTCCCTCGCTCTCGCGTCTGCATGCTAACTCGATTTGTCATCGGTGGTCGTGAGCACCGGCAACTGTTTTTCTCCTGGTTTCTGACGTGGGCCCTCCCCCTGGGGAACCACACGGCACCAGGTTGTTCGAGCGTTTTGGGTTCTTCAGCAATCCGACTTGCCCTGCTGGGCACTATATTTGTTCTCTCTCCTGGTCTCTGACATGGCCCTCCCCGCCCCCCAGAGGACCTCACGGCACCAGGATTTTAGATATCGCTTGGTCTTCCACGTAGGCCTTCCCTTCAGCGGACCTCACGGCACCAGGGCTCTTCGAGCCTCAGCAATTCCTGTCCCCACGTGGGCTGATTGCGTGCCCGACGTCCACTCACAGCATGCAGTTCTCTGGCGTCTCACTCTGGGCACTCTATGTATCTGCATTTCCTCGTCTATACCAAGCCCCCCCTACGGCCATGTAATGTCCTAGCCCTTTCCAGGACAGCACCCAGATGTGTTGCCACGGCTGCCCCCATGTCTCCTGTTGACTGGCCCGCGCCCATGGTTGCTCAGGCGCCCAGCGTGGAGAAGCGTTTCAGTCTTTGAGACGATACTACAATACTTACCAGGGTACCCAATGACAGGGCTCATCCTACGCTGCCAGCTCGCGCCGCTTCCGCAAATTGTAGCCCGTCATCTACCCAGGCGGGTGGAAATTTCCTACTGGCATGAGCTACAAATTTATTTGGAAGCGTCACCATCCAGGACAGCCAGGCCCACGAGAAATCGGATTGGGATTGGGTAGAGGCCCCAAGCGTACTCACTATCACCGAGGTCCAGACCATGCTGCGTAAACATGCGCGCAGCCTTACAGCCACAGAGCCAGACGTCGACGCTCAGTATGCTAGCCCGACCCAGTGCTGGTCCCTCTATTACTGTTGCCTGTGACCTCGATCCTCCCTTTGTTCGCCTGTTTTTCCTTTCGCGTGTCCATAGAGCACACATCAATGTGTTTCGCTTCCGCGGCGCCTCAGTCAATCCTCCAGAAGGTTGTGGCGCGTGTGCCTGTAAGCTCGTGGCGGCAAGGGTCGCCATGGTACGAAGTGGCAGCTCCAGATGCATAGCGGGCAGCAGCGTCTTACGCCCCTAACACAGCCCCGTCTGGCTGCACAGGGTACGGAGGACCTGTACATGTTCGGTGCGCCCACCCATCAGCATTGCACAGCCGTGCCCACACTCACCCTCAGCCTCTATGTTTTCATGGGCATGACTACCTCCAGGGCTCGTCCCCACAGTGGACTCCTTCTGGATTTGACAGAATGCGCGAGGCATTATGCCCATGGAAGTTCCCACATCCACTCCTCCTCCTCCTCCGCCTCCTCTTCCTCCTCCGCCTCCTCCTCCACCTCCTCCTCCTCCTCCTCCCCCTCCTCCTCCTCCTCCTCCTCCTCCTCCTCCTCCTCCTCCTCCTCCTCCTCCTCCTCCTCCTCCCTCGTTCGTTCCTCCTCCCACTCCTTCTTTTTTTATGGATTCCTTTCCGTCCGCCCCAATTCACGCAGTCCCGCCTACTTCTAAGCTTCGTTTGAGCCACAGCCGTCGCTTAGTAGCCAAGCGCAGTCATTTTGGCTCGCTCTCTCTCCCTCTCTCGCTCTATCGCCCCCTTCACTTCACCTGCCCGCCTCACATGTGTGACATTCTCAGCCAGATCACCCAATATGCTTCAGTATTTGTCCAGGCCGAAATGCTGCTCGCTCCATAGTAAGAGCCCCTGGCAATGTGCCCCCGCTCCTCTTCGTGAAATTCCCCTTCTCCTCCTCCTCCTCCTCCTCCTCCTCCTCCTCCTCCTCCTCCTCCTCCTCCTCTCTCCTCCTCTTCCTCCTCCTCCTCCTCCTCCTCCTCCTCCTCCTCGCCCGTCTCCTCTTCCTCCTCCTCCCTTACCAGCGCCCTCTGGCCCTGGCGATTGGCCGCGTCAGTGGCGAAAAACGTTGGCACGATTTTGTAACTGGGGCGTTCGATCTGCCTGTGCGCACGTGGCGCTTCTATACGCCAAGCCGTGGCACACGACGACCCCAGTCAAAAGAACCTCCCCCCCTCCCTCCCGCCTCCCTCCCCACCCTCCCTCCCCCATCCCTCCCCCCTCCCTCTCTCCCGGCTTGCCTACCTCCCTCCCCCCGTCCCTCCTCCTCCTTCTCTTCTTCCCCTCCTCGATTTCTCGGTTTGTCGCCTGTGGCACTGTTGCGGCCGCCGGAGCCCAGGGCAGCCGCGATTGGCAAGTGCACGGGCCCGAGTCTTGCATCCGCCTGCCCCTCTTTCCCATTCCTCCCCTACTCCCCCTCCTCCTCCCCTTCCACCGCTACGTCACGGATGCGACGCCTCAGCCGATGGAGGCGCGGGTCGCTTGTTCGACGGTGGTGGACCCCGAAGCCGCGACGCGCTCCAAGGCCGAGCGACGGGGCGGCCTGTGGCAGGCCCCGTGTCAACACGTGGGACGACCTGGAGAGGCATGTGGCGGCCACCCTGGCGCGCGCAAGGCAAAACCCCCTCGACGACTTCGGAATGGACGACATGCGCAGGTGCCCGCGCGCTCAGGGACCGCGCATGGCCCGCTTCATCGACGGGCTGGGCGCGGACGACGCAAACCGTCTGCCGCACGAGGCCCAGGATGATTTGCTGCAGTTGCTCAGGTCCTGCGAGCGGCTCGGCTGTTGGCCCAGACAGCTCCTCGGCGTCGTCGGCGCCGCCCAAAACCAGGTCGCGGGTTCGGGCCACGATCACCTCTCAGTGGACGGAGGGCTCTGCGATCCGCGTGCCCAGCGCTTTGCGAGCGGCGCTGATCCGTGTGGTCGTGGATGAGGCGAGGCAGCAGCTTGCGGAGGTTTTCTCGACGCTGCCGATGGACGTGGCGACCTTCTACGAGTGCGTGCCGGTCTAAGCTCATGGTGATAGCGGAGAGGTTCGACTACACTGCGCTTGTGGTCGGCCTCGAGGCGCAGATATTTCTGGCGCCGCGCTTGCTGCGGGATCGCTTCTGCAGGATGTCCCAGCCAATCGAGGCGACGCACTCGGTGGTGGCCAGTGCCGGGCACGGGCCACTCCAGTTCGGCGACGGTGCGCGCAGTCCCCCCCCGAGCGGGCCATGGAGCTGCATTGACGACGCCGTCGTGCGCGTGGAGGGCTCCAGAGCAGCAGTGGTCGCCTTCCGCCCGAAGGTCGCATTGGTCTTGAAGGAGGAGATGGACGAGCAGGAGCTGATCTGCCCAACGAAGTCCGAGGTGCTGGCCTCGGACGCAGCCTCCGGCGCTGAGGTTACTGCGGCGCTGAGTGCGGCAGCGCAAGCGGGTGTGCCGGAAGGCCAAGGTCCGCCTCAGGGCGGGAGGGCGCTGTGCGCCGCATCCTCCAGATGCGGACGCGGACTGCCGCGGTGCGCGAGTCGCGCGGGCTTTGTAGAATTGGGGCGCTGCCGCAGGCGACCTACGGCCACCAGACGTTCGGCCTGGCGCCCAACTACATCGCCATGCTGCGGCGTCAGGCCAGCCATGTTGCTGGTGGCCCTGGCCGCGGGCGTTGCCTCGCATCGGTGCTGGCGGCCGCGATGGGCCTGAGGGCCCCCATCGTGGAGCTGCGGATGCAGGCCGCGGGCGCCTCCTGGCTGTCGACGTGGACGCTGCAGCCCGCGCCCCGCGACCTGGCGCGGTAGGCGTGGCCAGCAGGGCGGCGCGCGCCGAACGGGGCAGGTGGCCATCGCTGGCTGCGCGCGCGAGGGCCGATCGGCGCGATCCAGGCCAGGCTCCTGGACTCGGTTGGGCCGGGGCCCTGTGGAGGCGACGCTGCGGCGTCGGCTCGCGGCGGCGGGGCGCGACGAGTGGGCGCTGCCGACGGCGGGGGGCCAGCGATTCGCCAGCTTCACGGAGCACCAAGGCGCGCTGGACGACGCGGTGGCGGACCTCCGCAGCCAGCTGCGGAGGCAGGCGGCGCGCCGCGAGTCGGGCGCCAGACTCCAAGGAGGAGCGGACTTCCCCCCAGAAATCGAGATGGGCCGCCTCGGGAAGGAGGGCGCGATGCCATGCTGGGGGCCCAACCTGGTGGTCTTGTCGGGCGGACAATGCCCGCGCGAGCGGCGCCTGCGAGCACATTGCGTCCTGGGCGCAGCTTCTGCAAGAGCTGCGGGCGGGCGGGGCAGGACCTGCTCCGCGGGGCCTGGGCGCGCGCCGACTGCGCGGGCGACGTGGCCTTCTCGAAGTCGGGCGCGGTCCTGCCGAGGGCGTTCGCTGGCTACGCGGCGGAGCCTTCGCCGCGGCTGCGCGGCGCGGCGCGGGACCACCTCGCGACGCCGACCTTCGGCGAGGAGAGGGCGGCGCAGGCGGCGGCGGTCGTCGCGGGGCCGCTCAGCCACCATCGCGACCCCACGGGCGTTGCCACTCTCCTCGGCGCCGGCCATCTCCATCCGGCTGTCCTCCGCGGCCAGGGCGGGGGCCGACCGCGACGCTCCGATGGAACAATGGCGCGCTCACCACCGCGAGCGCGCCTTACAGATGATCGACGCGGTCGCGGCTGGACCCCCGACCGTCGCACCGCCGCAGTTGCCGTCGGATGCGCGCGCAGAATCAGAACTGAGCGGAGTTGAAGTCGACCCCGATGAGATTTTGGACCGCCGCGTAAACCTGGATACTGCCGTGATTCTAAAGCGCGGCCATCGCCCCCATCGGACCTGCGCCAACGACTGGGCCGCCACTAGCTACACAAACGCCCAGATGCGAGCCGTAGAAGAAGCACTCCGCGGCGACCAGGCCCGAGCACCACTATCACAACGCCCAACATGTAGGCAACATCCTGTTGCGCGCGAGGCCGCGCGCATACGTGTCGCCAGCGCGCCACGCGAAGCGCCCGATGGAGACGCGCCCTCCGGCGCCGACGGAGTCTCGATCGCACCGCGAGGCGCGCCGACTGGCGAGATCACCTTCACCGCTCCTGCATCCACCTCGGGGCAGTCGTCACCTCAAGGCCCACCGCAAGGCGGCAAAGCCGATGCGCCGCCCAGGTGGCCAGCCACTGGCCCAGCAAACGAGGGCGACGCTCAGGTCAATCACTGTCGCGCGCAGCTCCCCTCGGGCGAGCTGAGCGCCATCTTGGACACAGTTGCACGGGGCAACTTCATTGGCGAGAAGCTCGCGCGCCAGCTGCGCCGCCGAGCAGTAGAGGCCAGGCGCCGACCGCAGCAGCTCCTCGCGATCAAGGCCCTGAGAACACGAGGCGCTGGCAACGGGGCCCACGAGTGCACCCAGCAGGTGAGCACCTCCCATAGCCGTCGCGGATGAACAGGGCAGAGCACAGCTTCACAGCACTCATTGCAAGAGGATCGGGCAGCGACCTGCCCGGCCTTCTCGGCCTTGGCGGCACGGAGTCCATGTGCGCGATCCTGGACATGGGCCAACGCGAGCTGATTTTGCTTGGCGGCGACGACGTCAAGATCCAGTGGTCCGCCGGAGCCGCTCGCACCCCGCTTTAGAAGGCTCCGAGCGGACACCTCGCGACGGCCATCGACGACTTCTAGAAGGCCGTGCAAGCCGCAGGCTGCGCTGCCGCCCGCAGCGCCCAGCTGCAAGCCCGCGCCGACGAGACGGAGACAGAGACGGAGGATACGACACGACACCGACTGCTGCCCCCTTCTGCCGGGAGGCTGAGCAGCGGTCGAGCTTCGGCTCGCACTGAGCTGCGGCCCCCACGCGGGGCACCCCGGCTCTCCTGGCGGGGGAACCAACGTCGTGCCCCAACCGCGCTCGAGTGATAGAGCTCGCGCAGACAAGCGCTAGAGCTTTTGAGCAGCACGGATGGCGGATGCGAGCGTCCATCCTACGAACAGCATCTGTCTTCATGTCTCCGCTCGCCTCAGCGAAGTCGCCCGACACGAACGTCAACTGGTTTGGATTATGATACCGCCTGCAATTTTTATCATGGAAATAAGTACAATCGTGCCAGAGAGCCATTGCATGAGTTACTACTGACGTGCTGAAGACACGGCATTACCCTGTGCTGGAATAGGCATGGCAAACAAGCTGAACCGCACCATCGAAGTGGCCACTAAGTCAGCAGTCGGCATGAAGTTGTTCATCATCAGGCCCTGCCGACTCGGGCGCGCACCCGAGCCTGGCAACGAGCCACTTGCCAAGACAGCCTTCCGCATCGTCAACACAATAACACAGGGGACCAGATCGCTGCGCACACGCCCGAAAGACCTGGTGCACCGAGCGCCCGGGCACAGGGCGACGGAAGGCCCTCCTGGCAAGTAGACCTCGCAAGTGATTCCCCAGGCGAAGCGGATCATACCAGAAGTAGTATTCCGACTCCACGTACGATTGGTTATACATTCTGGTTTAGCCCGAACAGGATCTTCTGCTCAGGCAGAGCCAAGGATTGCAAGACCCACGAACACACCAGCTGCTCTGCTTGGCGAGGAGGCTCCGGCAGCCTCGACGAGTACCCCCCCTACCCACCTTGGACTGTTCGCCAGCCCGAAAATCCCAACTCAAATAGGACACATGAAAACAGGACACATGATAGGGAAGGGCAAGACAACAAGTCACATAAGATGGCGGAGTTCGATAAAGCACCTGACGCTGCATTTGATGAAGATACCAATACTGCTACGAAAGAAGATCATTGCATCTCCGACTTCAGCAAGAGCGCGCGACTCGAATCCACGCGTTGCGTCAGAAGGCCCTTTTCACACTGGCCAAGACTTCTTGCCCGGTTTCTCTTGCCGCACTGGCAGATGAGAGGCAAACCTACATCGGCCCCGAACGCCAGCCAGGCAATGTCGTCGTCATCACTTCGAGCTGGAGACAGCGGCCCACTGCTCATTCGGTCTTGCCATGCGAATGGACAGGTAGAACCTCTTTCCTCGTCAACCAGGTGCCCCCGTCGTTTGCCTTCCCACCGAGGAGGCAGAACGCGATAAGGCACGCAAGGAACAAGGTCTTGTGCCAGCCGAACTCTCCAAGATGGAAGACGACGTGTTCGACGGCATCGGAGACCTCCTCTCTGACCTCGGTACGGAGGAGCAGCTCAAATGACTGTTCCAGGACACAACCAGAGAGCTCCCAGTCGGTGAGCATCTGACGGAAACGCACGCAGCAGGGACCGCAGTTGGTCATCGCGCCGCGCTCCCAGCTCCCACCTTGCAAGCCACGGACGTCGCGCATGCCCTGGCAACGATCCACGCCGTAGGACCCGGCGCGGACTTGCGTGGGCTGCGCGGCGGTGAAACCCGCACTTCGCAGGTCGCCATACGACGACAATTCGATGCAGGAGACAACTTTGACCGGGTTACTGGCTGTGATTCGGGCGACCACAATAGTCAACAACACGCCCCACGGCACCGCAAGTCCAACAGCGCACCTGGCGGTGATCATGGCGCTGTCTTGCCGCGGCACGGGGCCGCTCAGCGGTTTCAACTACCGCGTCAACCATGAGACCTGGCGAACCCATTACACGGAGGATGCACGTCGCATATCCGCATGTGGGCAAGTTGCGCTGGTGCAGAAACATCACGGACGGTACTCCTTCGTCGAAAAACCGGTTCCTACCCGGCTCAGCACGGTGCAGCCATGGGAACAAGTGGCTACACGCCACCGTGCGGGCGCGGTTGTGTTCGACCAGTGCTGTCTGGGAGCGAAAGGACCACGCGGTCTCCCAGCTCGTCAGCTGTCCGTAGATATAGCCAACTCACCACACCTGCTAGCACCCTCCAGGAATTTGAGGTGCAGCGGTCGCCACGACCACGATGTCCACTTGGGTCATAGCCAACGCGCCAGGACACTCCAGGTCTGGCCGAGGCGCTGAACTCTGCGCGCGGTGCAGCATCGTTGCTTTCAAAGCTGCGGCGGAAAGCCCCCTCACGCCGATGCAGATCTTTACCCAGCCACATGCGCCAACATCAGCCCAGAGGCTCTCCGGGGAACTTGAACGCTTGGAAGAAGCCGACGCACCGCCAGCACGGGCACCAGAAACAGCAGCCACGCTTACACCGACAGGCAAGCCCCGTACCCGACCGACGGCGACTAGAGTGCCCAGGCGCGCCGCTGGCACGCAGACGGCTGCCGTCCGACCAGCTGCCAAGCAAGCAGCCAACGCACCAAACGCTGAACGGCATCCAGAATGTCCTGGCTGCCGCGGCCATCGCAGCCACTTGGGCCCCCGTCGCATCCAGATCCAAGGGAAGTGCGCCGTCCCTCCAGGAATTGGAACACCATGCTCCGATCCAGGATGCACGCGAGACCCGCCGCGAGATGGAGCGCGCCCAAACCAT